TTTGCTGTAATATGTCCATTAATTTAATATTGGTGGGAAAAGTGAGGGAATGTACAAAAGAGAGTGGACCTTCTGTAGCCAAATGTCTGGTTCTCATCAACGTGATCATCCCCTCCCACCCACCTGCACCTTCCCTGTCCTCCTTCGGATTCTTTACTTTATTCGGTCCTGTGCTTCCTCTGTGTAATCCTGTTTGTTATTGTGTTGAACTGGGATCAAAGCTAAGCTTACGGCAAGACTCGCATAACAAAATACTCCCTTCCATCCTCCACGCTTTCCTTTTTTTTTTACCGCCCTACCTCCTGCCCTCTGATAATAGCTACCAGTTCTCCCATATGTCTCTAATACTAGACAGTGGAAAGAAAGAAAGACGTTGTACAGAAGGAGAGCGTCAGTGCCTCGACTTATAAACTATTTTATGATCATATGGCCACCATTCTCTAAGCTTTTTTGCAGATGACAGTGTATTTTCAAGAAAATAAGTTGTCTGTATTGGCACAGCATTGGCTGGCAGCTGTCAACATTACAGAACATCCACAGCTTCTCCTTCTCCTCAGGGTGTGATTGTTAGAAGGTGATTACCATACTTGAAAAATTATAGATTTAACCTAACTACTACTACTACACTACTTCTGCATGCTGTAATTAATGAAGCTCTAACAACATGCTGTATGTCTCCTGCCTCCATAGATAATATCTAGTTAAAGACCTTTCTTTGCCAGTATCTGTGAATATAGGCCTCCTGTCTGCCATCCAATGAGAAACAGACTCTTACTGTCTCCTCCTGGTCCAATTCTCCTCCTGTGAGAGTTTAATGTAGCTGTCCTCACTAATTCTCTATGAATAGCATTTTACACACTTTCTGTCCCTATTAAAGCCATCGGTTGGTTCAGAAATAGTTGTGACGATGGCATTGTTTCTGTAGATACTGTGTCTTGAGATCCCAGAGACCGCTCTGTTCAGGTCCCTGTTGGCTTCCTAGCAAACTGATGTTGCTTGTCAGAGTTAGATGTTGAGATTTGGCATGTTGCACAGCAGAGCAAGTCATCTTAATGTAAGTGCACTATAAATAGCAGTGTATTTGGCCATGTCAGTTTTTGTTATTGATCAGTGCAGCAGCTATCTGCCGATATAAGTTTCATATCTCTGTATCAGCAACTCTAGCTGAGAGTGCCAGGAATGTACTCTCAACTGGCAGGATGCTGGTACTGGAGCTTGTTCTGGACCCAAAATCTAAAAGCATTTCAAGTGCTAAAATACTAAATTCTGGCCTTTTAGACTAGTTAGCTAGCTAGTCTTTGTCCACAACCAAGGATGAAGATGTTATCGGGCAACCAGAATTGTCTAAAAACCAGTAGAAATGGGGACTGGTA